AAAAAAAAAAGGAGGGGGGAGGGAGTTCAATATCTGGGAGACCTCTGAGTGCTGGGAACCCCCTTGCGGGTCCGACTGCTCTTGTGCGGTGCTGAAGCGCCATCTTCTGGTGGGTCCGCGGAAGTGCGCCCTGCAGATGTTTTCCAGATGTGGGTGAGCTGTTCCCGCCCTCCGCGGTGAGAATTAAGCACTTATTCTTAATTCAGAAACTAAGGAATTAGTTCTTGTGACACTTCATGACATAGAAAATGATGGTCTAGTTTCTAATGAAAGCAAGGCATGTTCTTGACATAATTTCTATTATTAAAGTAATAGAAAAAAATCAGTCTTTTGATTGAGAATAAGTTCAAGTTTTAAGCCGACCACTTGGGGGGCGGGACCTCGCCTGAGGACCCTCTTAAACAATGATAATCATATTCTTTGCAAGAAGGATACATAGACATTTTTAGGAAATGCATTTTCCTTCTCAGTCAAAAATGTATATAATTCTGAAACCTCCAAGAGTAATGTGTAAATTATTTTCTTGTACCTTTTCAAAAGAAATTGTAATTTTAAATACAGGTCTGAATTTAATACTTTAATTTTTAAAGTATGTCAGCAAATTAACATTTTATATTAATTTCCTGAACTATATAATAGCAGTGGCGACTGTAAACTTCACTGGGAAAATGTTATAAATCATTGAAAGTTGCACGCAGGATTCCTTGTTTAATATGGAAAAGAATCAAGGCGACAGATATTTTTGTTCAATGCTATCACACATCGTATATTTTGTTACTTTAAAATAGTGAATGCCACAAGCCTTTTAGTAAACGTAATGCTCATAGAAATGCATGTGACTAGGCTGAAGCTCATTAAGTCTTCAGTACCATTCTGTCCCAACACAAGAGCCATCACATGATTTCATTTCATTCTCTGTAAAACAGACCTTTAGAAGCTGTGAGGACCACCGGAGACAGTGCCTGTGGTATCGTGTGACATGGCTCATACCAGGAGCAGCCTAGGGAAGCAGGTTCCCTTTCTACTGTATTTGAATGATTTATTCAGTGATTTCTCTCCTGCCTGTACCACCTTGAGAGCAGGGCCTTAGCTGTTGTTCATTATTTCACCCCCAGTGCCATCAGTTCCTGGCACTGAGGAGATACACAGTAAATACTTGTTCACTGTTATTATCGAATTGACGAATTGACGTTATCAGTGGCAACAATTACTATGTGTTTCGTCTTCAGCACCTGACAACAAATCTATGTGTTCTTAACATTGTGCTAGGTTATGAGAGCTAGAGATCTTAGCAAATAAGGTATTTATCAGTCACTCAGTACTATGGAAGTAGTCACTTGTGGAAGTTCTGGTGTTGTGGTGAGTCCAGAGGTTACATATTTCATCCTTCTCCCTGGGAAAATAATACTGCAGGTTTTCCAGTAACATGGCTTCTTTCTGTTCGGTATCATTTCTTTATCCTATGGATGAGAGAAAGGAAATGCTGGCCAACCTTGAACAAAGCCGCCTGGGGACTTGTTTTCGATCTCTGTTATTTCCTTAAAGTTGAAACTTCCAGGAACCTGTAGATGTTGATGGGGACTGACTGCAGTTTGATTTAGAGATAGGCAGTACTTCACTGTGAAGAAGCAATAGAGAGCACAATACCAAGTCTGCCTTCTATCTGTGGTCAGAGAGGGGGCAGGTAACACTCTGAGGTAGACCAGTGGGCAGCACCTCCACCCAGGATCTGTAGAAGTTCAAGCTGCATTGTGGTGTTACAGATGAGATTTCAGAGGACAGAGAGGAAGGGTGACTAAGGTCTTTTGGGTTGTGAAGAAGGAGACCTAGGCAGAGGAAGCCAACACGCGTTTCCAGAGGGAGCGTGCTTGCATGTCCTGTGTAGATGTTTATTGAATTCCGTTTCCTTTAAGATCTTAGGAAAGTCAGCCAAGAGCTCAGCACAGTGGTTCTAGGTGGCCCTAATAGTTCTCGAGGTCTATTTTAGTTTAAAAAATGTCTCCTAGGTTATCTGGCATGGAATTCAGAGCCTTTTCTGAAACACTGCTGAGAAGAGAACCGAAGCAGCCGTATTTCAGAGATGCTAATCCAGGGAACTCCTTAACAGTGGTTCCGTGGTGGGCTTCTGGGGTATTGGCAGTGTGATACAGCCTGCTGGCACCGGGGACCAAATCCCACATGCCAAAGAACTAGAGAATGGGGCCAGGATTTCAGTGTCGAGGGAGATGTGAAAGATGGATGTTCGGAATCTGCTGTCCAGAGCGAGTCAGAACTCTGAGCCTCCCTTCCCAGTGCCGAGTGGTTTTTCAGAAAATGACTTCTCACCCCGGTGTTCAGTGGCAGAACCCTTCTGGCCCAGTTCCCGAGCTCCACGGCAAGGCTTGTCGCACCCCCACGTGAAGCCAAAGGCCCGATTGTCTGCAGCCACTCTGTCACGGTGGGAGTGACTTAACAGCTATTTAGAGAACGTATTTTTTGCTTTTGCTCGGTAAATGCTTTACTTGAGAGGGTGGAACAGTTGAGCAAGGCCAGGCTCAGGGAAACCACCCAACTGTCGGGTCACCCTGGCCCCGCAGGGTACGTGGTGTACGTGGCAACACCTCCTGTCTCCACAGGCAGCGCCAGTCTCCACAGCCCCATGCTGGATCCTGACGGCGAAGTGCGGCCCTCGGTGCTGGGCCACCTCAGCCAGACGGCCTCGCTCAAGAGGGGCAGCAGCTTCCAGTCTGGTCGCGACGACGGTGGGTACCTCCTTCCCCCAGCCCTGTCTTTTAAATTGAAACTCGAGTAACTTCAAACACTTTTTCCCTTGGAAAATCCCATAATTAGCGGTAATACAGTTGCCTCCGTGCAAACAGCAGTCACCTCTCTGCTAGCCAGAAATGTAAACAATTAAAATGCATATTACAAAGTACCTTCAAGAAATAGGGTTGGACCTTCTGAAAGAGTCACTGGGCACAGGTCAGTATTTATTCAGCACATCTTGCTAATGTCGGCTTTTTCCCCCTCCCCTCCTGTGGGTGAATTTTTTAAAAGATGCCCAAGAAAAACATCTGCGGGAGCTTTTGTAAAGGTGAAATTTGCAACAGTCACTTCAGGGGTCAGCACAGAGAATAGACACCTTTGTAGTGGATTTTAAAATTTCTCTCGGAAACAAGGGTTGCTACCAGTCGTCTCTTTACCTCCATGAGATGCCAAATGTGTTGATCATGAATGCATCAATGTGCCACCTTAGATGCTTCTGGGCTCCAGTTATTTCTCATCCAATAACAGATATAAGAAATCCAAATAGGCTAATAGAAATACCTTACTTTATGTTCAAGTCAGAAATCTCTAAAGCTTATTCTAAAGTGTTCTCTATTATTATTACACAGATGTATTTACAAGTATATTCTTACAAGTATAGAGCATTTTTTTCTAAATTTTCATTAATAACCACAAATGAATGTCCCATCCTAAGAATACCTTAAAATGAGATGGCTCATTGATACTAAATGAAGGTCAGCATTCTTCTTGTTCCCTGCTTCCCAGCCTAGTATAAACAATGAATTGGTATAAACAAAATGAATATAAACAAAAACTAGAACTATTTGCCTCTGCATTGTGTGGTTTATACGGTAACTCTCTAAGCAAATACAACTAGTGACCAACTCTAGAGAGCAGTCTCCTGTGTTTTTGTTGTTTATAAAAAATATGTCCTTGAATTAGTAGGTTGTTTTACCAGCTCTAAAAACCTTCCACCTTACTCTTCAGTAACTCACTACCACAAATTGGCACGCTAAACAGGATTCAATTGATTAGAAATTGTACTTGACCCTGACTGTAATGAATGATATCATTTTGAATAGTTCCAGTCTCTCCTGACTGGGGTTTTCAAGCTTCTTGGATCCATTTTTATCAAATCTGGAAATTTTCTTAAAAACTTTGAAAAGCTGGCTATAAATCTTCTAAATGTTTTCCTGGTCCGCTTCCTTACCTGGGATTCCAGGTATAATGTACATTAAACAGATTTTCCCCTCTGTGCTTCATCATAGTCAGTTATTATACCTTCAGCCTCTCTGCTCTTTTATCTGCAGTATCGAACCTAAAATTTTAGGTATTATATTTTTTTCACCACAGGGATTTCCATTTTTCTTCTTTGAAATATCTTCTTTCTCTGATTATTATTTTTATGTTTTCCTTTTAATATTTGAAACTTGTAATTATTGGCTCATTTTGTCATCATGATCGTATCTGGATCTGTTACTTTGCCAAATTTCTCTTCTGGTTTCTTGGTTATGATTCCTGTTTTCCCTTTTTGATGTGACTCGTCATTTTTTTGAGTAGTTTCCTAGACATTGAATGTTGATTGTTGAATGTCTGGATTTTGTTGTCTTCCTTTAAAGAATGATGGACTTTGTTTTCTTAATTGTTTACAGATACGTTTGATCCATCCAGGGCTGTTAAACTTAGAGCAGGTCGAGTGCACATTCTTTCTAAGGCTATTTCAGTCCTATGGCCTTGACCACAGGGGCACAATCTCTTGGGTCTCTACCGAATCACACAGGTGATGACTGATGAGGACTGTTCCTCTGGCTCTTCGTAGCTAGAGGGCTCCCTGCCCTGTGTGGCCTCTGGGAATTAGTGACTTTATAGTTGTTCTTTTCCTAGAGTGGTTCTTCACTCCGTGTTGTGCATAACCTTAGATCCTTGTACAGACTTTAGGAACTTTCCTTCCTACTAACTCATACCTTCCTCTAAGTCTTCCATGCATTTTCCAGTCACATGCCCTTCCCCCCCATTCTTTGAACTTTGTCTTTCTAACTTAGAAAAGCCACTGAGCTTTTTTTAGTTTCTTCTTACTTTACCTCTGTTATCCAGATACTGCCCACAGGCAGAAAGCCAAGGCATTATGGGCTCGCGACATGTTTACCTCCTGTGGGGATCTCAGTCCTCTGCTGCCCCTTGTCCAGTGTCTGAAACCAGCTGTTTGTATATTTCCCCCCAGTTTTCTAATTGTTTACGACTAGAGGTTAAAGCCCGTACTTCTTACTTCAATATGGCTAGCAGTGCAAGTGAAAAAACTCAAGTTTAATTTCCCTGAAATTTATTACTTGATAGTGGAGTATTATGAAGGATTGCTTATAGTAACCAATAGGAATTAGACAAGAAAGCTCATCTCAACTCGTACTCAAAATAAAATTTACAAGTCTACAACCTTTGTGATACCGGGGTGGGGGGGAAGGGGCATCCCTGCTGTACCCCCTTACTTCTCTTCATCAGTCTCAGGAACTAACTCTTGAAGTTATACTGTTAGTGATAGAGCATGTGAGAATTTGGGACATCCTGATGTCTGTAAGAAAAGAAAATTCAGAATCATTGTCCAAATATAATGACCAGGATTTAGATAAAAGAATGGGAGGAGCCTCTTGTTACATGTATACACACATGTACGATGTATTAACCAACACATGCATGAGCCATATATGTATTTACTCATACCTTTATGTACACATCTACATTCATCAAGCATTGTATACATTCACACATACATATACGCATTCACACGCGCATATATAACTCATTTATTCATACGTGCTCACATTCATTTGGACATTGCATTCATTAATACACACATACATACATCATACACACATACAGAACACATGCATTCATGCATACTCCTGTGTACATGTGCATACATAGGTATCAAGAATCTGCTAGTAAAAACAATCAAGCAAAACATGAGGCTAAGAATTGCCCTCTGTTGTCAGGCAGGAAGCTGCAGGACCCTTGACTGAGCACCAGCACATTAAGTAATGGCAGAGTTCCCGCTCGGTCTGACCACCTGGCAGTGCTGTCTGACAGCATGAGCGCTCCACACTACGGTGAGCCGAGTCAAAATAGTGTTACAGCTGCCATGAAAGGATTCAGGTGAAGGAAGCTTTTGGAAGTTAGTTTGATTATGTTTTTTTTATTTCTATTTATCCAGATTCCTTTCGTATCATAGCGATAGCACCAGTTCTGTTAGAATGTTTACTGATTGAAAGATTTGACAAGAAAGAAGCAAAGTTTACTTTCTATTTTATTTTGTGTTTTTGTTTTGTTTTGTTTTTTGCCCTGGGAGCCTTCTCTGAGTTATTTTGTGTTTTTTAAAGAGCATTTTTAATAGTTTTCAGTAATAGATGAATCATACATCACTCAATTTTGTGCTTATTGTCCTGTTCTCAACAGTGTGTAGCCCCAAAAGACTTGAATGTTTTGTTTTTTCTTAGATTCCTTTGCTTATAGAAAGAGTCTGTGCTATAATCTGATGGTACCTGAATAATGTGATTCCTTCTGATGCCTTGATTCCTTGTTGAGTTCTTACTCCATGGGGTAGAGAGTGGCATTTTTTCCGCTTAATATCAGCATCAAATTTAATTATGGAAGCTGCTGTTTGAAGGCAAAGAGACCTCGAAGACAACGAAGTGGCGAAGCCAAAGCATCCCTCAAAGAAGCCCCCCCAGCCACTGCGCCTTCCTCGCCCCGCCTCTCCCCACAGAGACGCTGGCTCAGGCCTGTTGGTTAAAGCACCTTCTGTTGGCAGGCAGGCACAGCCGTGGGAGGTGAAAGGCAACGCCAGCCCTCCAGCCAGTTCAGGCCCTGAAGCCAAAGCGGGCCGGGTGGGATGTGCTAGATGGAGCAGCAGCTGTCTGGTCACAGAGATTTTGAACTTTGACTGGGAAGGATTTTCACGGTGTTCATTTGTCCACCTTCCCTCAGCCTGGAGATACCGCACTCCTCACCGGGTGGCATTTGTTGAAAAATTGACCAAGCTTGTGCTGAGTCAGCTGCCTAACTTCTGGAAACTCTGGATCTCGTACGTCAACGGGAGCCTTTTCAGTGAGGTATGTGCCCAAGCTTGGCCTTAACTGTGGCTCAGTCTGTGAAATTCTGGTCTGAATAATTTTTAATTTTAAAGTGACTGTTTTAAGACCTTAGAGCCCAATACCTACACATTTGTCAGGTATTTGGGGATTGGTTAAAAGTGTTACAAAGCCCTGGGGCCTCCCTGGTGGCGCAAGGGGTTAAGTCTCAGCACTGTGAAGCTATCAGCAGTCACTGCAGCAGAGCTCCATCCCTGGGAAGCGAGCTCACCCACATGGCACAGCAGCCCTCTCCTCTCTCACCTGTTCTGCTCTCACTCTGCCTCCGGTGAATCCTCTCACCCCCTGCACCTCTGGCCCACACCCTGCCTCTGGTGTCACAGATCTTTAAAAAAAGTGTTATAAGCCCTGACATCTAATAATTATATGATCTTGGACAAACTAGTTAATTGTCCTGTGACTTGCTTCTTCAGAGGTAAAAGAACATAGTTAGGGAACCCACCTAAAGAGTGAGAGCCAATTAGAGACACGGTGAAGCGTCGCGAGAGATTTGGAATCGAGTGTGCCGCCACGCAGACCAAATTCTGGGCGAAATGATTGTGCATTAATCTGTGGACAGATGACAAGTTTACAGTGTGCAAAATAATTGTCCATAGAATCAAGGAGTTGGCTGCATGGGAAGAGTAGGGAAAGCCTGTGACCTTCCCCATGTGTGATTAGCTTCTAGAAGTTGTTTCAAGCTGTACATTTTCACAAACCTGCGTTTACTCGGCGCCTTCATCACAGCGTCATTGTGGGGTTTCTGACTTTGTAGTGAGCACGTGGGGGTCAGCCCCATCTCTCTGCGGTGTCACAGTACCCTTGAAAGGTTCCCTGGGCCCTGGAATCCAGGGTCCCCACTGCCAAAGAGTCCCGCCAGTCACTTGGAAGGAAGGTGACTGGGGTGAACTCTGCAGCTCTGAGAGCTGGGGGGGGCAGAGACACGGCTGCTTCCTGCTTCAGGGACAGGGCATGTGGACAGGGGCAGACTGTTTTGGTTTTCTCTGCACCAAGCCATTCAACTTGGGGTTTCAAAACCTTTTCTCTGTGGTGGAAAGTAGTCAGAAGGCTTGTTATTCCAGGGCTTTGTCCAGGCTGAATTGACTGTGGACCAAAATTCACACTGTGTTAAAGAAATAGAGCTTTTTGTCCCCCTTTATGTATTTCAGTTCTTACTTGCCCACAATTCCTGTTCTTTTAGATTGAGTGGATCCCTACACCCTTGCTTAGCTGTGGGTTGTCGTTTTGTTTAATTTTGTTTAGTTTTGCATAAAAGAACTGGGGTATAGGCCAGAGACGCAGAGGGTTCACCAGAGACAGGGTGGGGAGCAGAACAGGCAGATGGACTGAAATCCACTGCTGAGGGGAGCAGCAGGGAGACAGGAGGGGTCTGCTGGGTCATGGTGGGGTCACTCGCTGCCCGGGGATCAAACAGGCTGTAGCAGAGATAGCTCTGAGACTTCATACGTAGGCCCCAGGGAGGCCCCATCCTTGATCGTTTGAATGGTTGGTTATCTAACCCGTAAGATGTCCTTATACGTGGAAAACAGTCGACTTGGGGTGAACTATCAGTTTGTTTTTCTTCCTTCTTTTTATTGTTAGTGTTAAATACCAACTGAATTTCAGCAGTGTGTCAGCCACTGTACTTTGTAAGTAAACTTTCAGATATTACAGTGCTCAGTAATGTGTTGCAACTTTCTAGGCTCCTTTTGTGTCGCTGGGTTATGTAAACGCTCTCTTGAAAAGTTAGCTATCCAGAGAAAGTCATTCTTCCATAAAACAAAAGCAGTTCTGCAGAGTTGCCTGAGCAAGGGAAGGCTTTAATTCCGGCCCTCCAACACTTTCCCATCAGTTTGCGTTGTATTCTTACTGCTGGCTGAGAGTTGTGGGTCGGTGGCACTGAGCGCAGGTTGCGCACCTGCCCCCGCGTGGAGGGGCTTGCTGCCCCCTCAGGCCTTATGAGACTCGCTCTTCCACGCGCTGGTCTGTGAGCCAGGCCGCCCACGGGGACGCGAGGCGCCTGCCGCCAGTTTCACACTTTTCCTCTCAACGCCGGTCACATGGAAGCAGCATCCAGTCCCACCGCCCCTAGCTGCCACCTCAGGTGGTGGCTTTGCTGCCCTGTGCCCATGTTTGGAGGTGAAATAAGTCAGTTAAGTGCAGTCTGCAAACAGCACCTGACAGACCAGTAAGAATTCGCTCTTACCGTTTGGGGTAAAGTCTTATTCGTCTGTGTGGAGTTTACTGGCCAGGCACCTGGAGGGTATTACAGTGACCAGCGTCCAGCAGTATCGGGAACTGGGGGCCACTGGGATAATGCGGCCTCGTCTCCAGAATCCGCCCCTGAGGAAATGGATGTTAAACCTACTTACTTGTTTTCCCTTTGGGCTGAATCAGCTCCTGGGGGTGGCCCACACACCAGCTAGCAGCTGCCGTGAGCCGAGTTTTTTGAGAGTTGGTGAAATTCCTCAGAGTTTTTGATCTGGCATAGTTTAGTGGAAAGGGAATTTATTTTCCTTGTTGTAGGTGACACCTAATTGTGATTTGAAAAAAAAAAAGCCATAAGTGAAATATTTACTTGTACATGAAAAATAATTGAGCTACTTCAGAACACTTGGGCAGCCGAGAGCACAGAAAAAACGGCATCTATTTAGTTACACTGAGTTGGACAGACCTAACGCTTTCTGTCAGTGTACAGACTTTTCTTCAGTTTATCCTCATCATTGTTAAGTATAGCTCACTCTACAAATTTTAAATTTTTTCCTTCTGTTGAAAAGTGAGGAAGACACCACAGGGCAGTAGAAACACATGGAGGATGTGGCATTGAGCACCCACAAAGGTTAACCTGTGAGTGAGAGCCAGAAACTTAAATTAATAATGGAAAAAGTTCTAGGGTTTTTGATAGTTGGTATTTAATCGAAACAAGAAGGCTTGGTCATATTAAAACACAACAGACTTGAAATTTCTTTCTTTTTTTCTTGTTATACAACTACCTTGCTTTATTACGTGCCCAACCGTTAAAGATTTAGATAGAGTTTCCAACAGCTTAAAAAGTAGTCAGTTCTTCAAACTAGTCAGGACCATGTGAAATAACATATGTGAATCAAAACAGTGAAATCTAGCCGTTGGCCTCACCACAAAGTAGTTTTGGTCTGCGTGTGCAGGAAAGAGTCAGGTTTTTAGTTAACGAAATGGTCAATAGTAGGTTAAGATCTTACCCTCAGATATATTTTAAGTACCTGAGGGTGAAAATCACAAAACATCCTCATGACTTTTAAACATTATGAAGCAGCAGTTTTAAAGCTGCATAAGTCATAGTATGTAAATTAAAATGTACTATGTGCTCCACAGATTTTCTTCGAAGAACAGGGGAACCTGACATAAGTCGGTGTTGCTGTTACTGAGCTCTTCGTCCGCTTGAGACAGAGAGCCACCATTTGATGTTTTTAATTAGGGTCAGGAGGTGTGCTTACAGCTAACCACCTCGCCCTCTGTTTCCATGTATTTGGTCAGTCCCGAAAGTCCGCAGAACTGTCCTGACCAGGCGCGTTCACTAGCTGTTGCGGTGCTGTTCTGGCAAAATCTCATCCTTAATTTTGATGTCATCTTTTTGTTTGTTTGTTTTGGAAAAATGGGTTCTCACTCTGAGTAAAAAACATCGTTTCACATGAACAAATGTCCACGCGGTCACCTTCCACTCGACAGGCTCGCTCTGTCAAGATCAGGGCTAGGTGCAGGGGAGGCCTCAGCTACAGAAGCCACACGCTGCACCCCCCACTCAGCTGTGGGCGACATGGGTGGACACAGGGACGCCTCCTGCCAGAGTCCCGCCCCTCCCTCCACAGCACGCAAAGCAGGTCTGTGCCGGCGGGCTTCAGAGAAGCACCATGAGAATGTTGCTTCTATTTCCCCAACGTCTAGAGAGAAGGAAAGGTTTCCTCCCGGGAATTGGCTCACATGGTCAGGGGCCAGCCGACGGCGCAGGTTCTGAGGTGAGCACCCGGAGCCCTGGGGCCGAGCTCAGAGCAGGATGTTGCTCTTTCCGCTCAGGTGCCAAGACCCATGTCCCGGCTCTGGGCTGACTGTCAGGCGGGAGGAGTGGCGGCTGCTAGGAGGAGGGTCTGCCTTTTCTCACAGCCCATCCTCTGATTGGATGGGTTCTGCCCCGTCGGGGGAGGGCAGTCACCTTTTCTTAGTCGACTGGCTCAAATCCTAATCACATCCCCACCTCACAGACTCACCCAGAATGTTTGACCTGATGTCTGGGTACCCTGATGGCCCGGTCAGGTGACCCATAGACCCGCTGGGGTCCTAACGGATTGTGGCAGCTTTTTCCGTGGGGGTGGCCCCGAGTCCACATGTTTACACAGAATTCTCCAGCCTCTGCCTCCCCTCCCTTTTGCTGGCACCTGAAACCCCCAGGAGAAGCATCAAGTCTTGGGGGGCATTTCTGGAGCTTGTCACAGGGATCTGTTCAGCAAGCCTCCCTCATGGGGCCACTCTGCCACATGAGATTCGGGACTTAGGACTGACAGGTGCACACTTTCTGGAATGTTCCAGGAGGTCCCGAGGGACCCTAACCCCCGGTGACCCTCTCCAGCATATTTCATCGAGTCCCAGACAGCCCCTGTGTCTGGCGCGCACACATCGCACCCACACTACTTAAAACATAGCTGCGCGGCAAGAGTGGAAGAGTGGCCAAGACAACAGGGCCTCTCCCGCCTGAAGACAAAGCCCGAAATAAGCTAAAACATAAAACCCTACTAAGTTCAGGCGACGGCCATAGAAGAAATGGATAGAGAACAGCAGCAGTGGGATAGAGAGCAGGGAGGTTCCCTGGGGGAGAGCATGAAGCCGCAGGTCACAGCGTGAGCAGGAAGCCGCACCAGAGCCAGGGGTGGGTGTGCTGGGCCCAGCAAGCGGAGAGCAGCCTGGCGTTTCTGAAGGACATGAAGTCGGGGTGTCTGAGGGGGCTGAGCAGTGGAGGAAGGCAGGAGACCAGGCTCCCGCCTCATAACTGGACCTGAGGTTGGTTTACCAAGGCCACTGAGGTCGCCTGTTCAGAAATGAATCTGCAGGGGATGAATGTCGAAGAGCGGGGACTCCTTGGCGCTGCCAGGCAGGAAAGTCTGGTGCCGGGATTCAGCTTTCATCCGGGGAGCTGGGCAGAAAAGGATGGGTTTGGGGGCAGACTTAGGGGTGGAGCCACTGGAGGGCAGGGCCTCTGCAGGCTGTTTGGCAAGCCTGATGCCATTTACAAAACCAGAAGGGCACGAGGAAGAACATGCATGAAGGAAAAGACCAATTTCTTATTTTAATGGAGTGCGTTAGAAGTTCCTGTGAGTTACTTCACAAGAGGCAACTAAGGGGCAATCCGAAACTCAGATCTGGATCACAGAGGAGAGAATTGGGCTGGGGATGGAAGCTTGCGAGGCATTCGATGGAAATGGTATGTGAAACCTTGAGAGTAAATTGGAGAAGAGAGGGGGAAGAAAGTGCCAAAAATAAGACTTGACAGAGCAGCCACGATCACCTCGTAAGCAGGGCCGTTCACTCGCTTTTCCACACCTAGCACAGGATGCACCACAAGTGTGATTTTGAATCAGACCATCACACTTGACAGAAACAGAAAGTAGGCTAACGGACACCCAGCCGTGTGGATTTACCTGCATGACCTGTCTCCCAGGCAGAGATGCCTCACACTGCTTCCCCCGGGGCAACCCAGAGATTGCTGGGCCCTGTGCCTCTGCCTCCACAGCCTATCTCACGCAGCCACACAGCAGGTCATCAGCTCCTTAGCCGGGCTGGCTTGGAGCACCACGCCCTCCGGCTGGCTCCCTCATGTCTGTCTCTGGCTCTAAAGCCCTTCTCAGTTGTCTCCACAGTCAAGAGGTAAAAACCATCAATCACTGAATTAAATCCCAGTGGACAAAGAACTTTTCTCTTTTTTTTTAAAAAAAATATGTATATATGCACACAGAATTGGGGTACAGGCCAGAGGGGCGGGGCGCTGAGCGGATTCACCAGAGACAGAGTGGGGAGCAGAATAGGCAGACGGACGAAGCACACTGCTGAGGGGAGCAGCGGGCGGGTCAGGAGAGGTCTGCCGCGCCCTGGGGTCTCCTCTGGGGCAGGGGGGGATCGAGCTTATGTTGCACTGGCTTCGGAAAGCCTCATAGGGATGCGCGTTAGCCCGTTGCACTGCCAGGGAGGGCCTGAACTTTTATCTTTTGAGTGTTTTTGGACAGTGAACCTAAGTTGGCTCATCAGATTCTTCCTGAGCTGAATTCGGGGCTGTGTTTGCGTCCCTCCTTGGGCTTGTTCTTTCCAAACCAAGTGCATTTCTACAAAGACAAAACTCGCCAAAGTTGTAGGGGTGATGTAAAAATGTCCATCACTGCGGCAGACTGCCCTACTGGGGGTGTTGATGCGGTTGTCGAAGACACAGCAGCGCTTTCCTCCCGTTGACTCGTGGATGCCAGTCGTGTTCGTCACCACCAGCCCTGCACGTGGCTTCTCAGCTGACGACGGGGCACGTGGGCCGTCACTTGTAGTATAAATTGGCTTGAAGTCAGAGTGATAGTCGTTGAGGAGACAGTAGTTCTCGCCTTGGAGGCTCTGTTGCTGTGCCACACCTTTAACATGTAATTCATGAGTGATTTGATAAGATATGCTCTCTTGCAATGGTATCTCTTGATTGTGGTCATAAGTGTCCAGGTTTTCTTTCACGTGATGCCATTTTGCTGCTGCTTCGTAGTTTGGCAGGTTTCCTAATCGCACCCTCCAGCACATTTTATATCATAATGTTTAGTTGTTAGAGAAACGGGTAGCAAGTGACTGCAAAGCAGTGGGACGGTTTCCTCTTTGAACCAGTGTGAAGAAATGTTCACACATTGCTGTAAAGAGAGAGAAAAATCCCAGAGGAAAGCAGGGTTACCAGTAAATAGGCCAAAAGTGAAGTCTAGACTGTATTGCTTCTAAATTGGACTATAAACCCCTGAGCAAAGGAGCATAATTCTCATGAATAAAATGCCAGGGACAGTGTTCGCATTTGTAAGTGCTTGTTAGGGGAATGAAAGCCCAGGCTGATTAGATATTCATCCAGAGCTGCTTCTTCCTTTTATTTTTGTCCTAATAAGAAATGATGTTTAAAGAAACGATACTTTCGGTTTCACCCGATAGAACTGCTGGTGAAAATGACATATTTGAACTTAATCCTTAGGTTTTCTTATGGACGTTGTACTTACAGGTTTTAAGAATATGTATAACTTCTTGTTAGACATAAGAAAGGAATTTCCTGTTAGTCATCCTTTAATCAGAAAGTTAGATGATTTCTTTCAATAACTTACTGTTCTTCTTTATGTAAGACTGTTACAGCATGTATTTTTACATGCTTTAGGGTTGTTTTTAATATGCTGTTGGTTTCTAAAAGTCAACTAATACGTTGCATCTTTTTACTGTTTTTTAATTTTGAAGACTGCTGAGAAGTCAGGCCAGATTGAAAGATCAAAGAATGTCAGACAGAGACAAAACGACTTTAAGGTGAGCTAAGCAGAAGCAGGAGGTTTTCCCAACCAAAGCCCCTGGGAGACTCCATATTCACGCTGTTGGTCACTGCCCGGGCACAGTTCTCCAGCGTTGATTCAGCCAAGGCAGTGCCTCGTAATGCCCCTTCGCTTGTTCACTGTTGTCTAGAAAATGATCCAGGAGGTGATGCACTGTCTGGTGCGGCTGACCCGAGGGGCCCTGCTGCCCCCCAGCGCCCCGGAGGGCACCGCACGCCAGTACGGCGGCTGGGAGGTGAAGTCGGAGCTCTCGGGCCAGTGGCTGGCTCACGTCATCCAGACCGTCAGGTAAGTGAGGGACACATGGAGATGCCGCTTCTCCTTTTGGGTGGGTGGCAGAGGAAACCCCGACACTCAGGTGCAGTATGATCTTAGTGCATCCAGCCAAGGGTCTTCCTCTCTGTCTTGCTGCCTCTGCCTGTCCCCACACGTCACGTCACTGACACCTTCAACAAAATGCCAGAGGCAGTGCTTACGCCCCCGACCCTGTGTCTGTGTGGGAGGAGCTTGTCATATTGTGTGTGCGTCTTTTCGTTGCTCGGTGCAGAGTGCAGTGTTACCCAGTGTGACAGTCTTGTGCTCCCGTGCTTAGAGGCTCTGCCGTCAAGGGTGAGCTCGGGCAAGGGGCGGAGGGGTGTCCCCAGAGCCCGCAGCCTGTCCGCTTTTCCTCCTAGGCTCACTTACGAGTCGTTGAGTGCCCTCGAAATTCCGAATGACATGTTACAGACCATCCAGGACCTCATTCTGGATCTCCGGGTCCGATGCGTGGTGGTCACCCTCCAGCGCACAGCGGAAGGTGAGTCAGAAGCGGGTCCCGCTGGTGGTGACCTCTTTCCTGCTTCCAGACCCTGAGAAGGAGAAGACTCCTCTTAGAGAACTTATGCGTACATTGGGCTCACCTGTAGCTGCTAAATGGGATGTTTTCTTCCTGTTTTTTGTTTTGTTTTCTTTTGTTTTTCCAAATCTATTTTTGTTTCAGATGCCAGGTCATGCAAAAATTAAGATGGTTATGCTTGAAAAATATTAAAGGATATACGCACACCCTTATGGCAAACGTTATATAGAAAGACTGGATTTGAAGTAGAAAATGGGTTCCTAACTTTGAAACTATACATAGATTTTTAAAATATTTGAAATATCAATGTCAAAATGAGAACAAAGGCTGTTACCTATTGCTCTCTGGGTAGTGGCATTATTAGTGAAGCTCGCTCTTTTTGCCCCTTCTAGAATTTTCAGAATTCTACATACATAAACTAAGAATTATCTTTATGAAACAGCCTTTTGGAGAGTAAAGGTTTTCCGAAGCCCTCAAGAACACTGTTGTAAAGGCCCAAGCGGTGACTTCAGTTCTCAAGAATGAGGTCACGTTCTTATGGAGTCAGCGATGAAAACAGTCATGAGCCACCTAGATTCTTGGCCAATAACTAGCAGGTGGCCTTCCCTCATGAGAATGGAACTGCATGGTCTAGAATAGGTAGGGGTAAAACAGAATCTAACTTCTTCAGAAGCTGTAGGGGAAATAATAGTTTTGGCTTATCTTGTACATGCTCAATATCACCAGAAGCAAAGCTAGTAAATCATTGCCTCAAGATGTCATTAGACTTAGCCTAGCAGTCTTCAAATTGATATGCAATAAAACAATTTATTTACTTCATGTCTTACTAGAAACATCCAGAAAACAATATATACATAGATGCTTGAGTCTACCTGATTGGTATTTCAAATCTTCACTTACCAGATTTTTATAAGCCATAACCTTTATAGACTTCATCTTTATGAAGTTTGGTGAGAGAATTACAGTGGCACTAAGTATGTGCTTGCTTTCCCATAGAAATAAAGAGACTAGCTGAAAAGGAAGACTGGGTCGTCGACAATGAAGGACTGACTTCTCTGGTAAGCTTGCTCATTCTCAGAAATTAATGCTGAGTATATGATGTATTTACAGTAGATGATTCATTATAATCACAAGGAGCATATGCTCGCTGAATGGTACCTACGTTCATTCTGGAAATAAGGGAATAAAAAGCAACCTTCTTGAAGTTTCCCTTCTCAGAGCCATGCAGGGTAAACCTAACTGTAAGAACTGACAAAGGAGTAGGAAGAGTGGGTTTCTTTTAGAGCACGCTTCATTCTGTATCAGTTGCTGGGTTTTGTTTACATTACATTTTTTATTCACGCTTGATCCTAAGTTACCCAGCAACTTGAAGTTTTTGGAAAGGCAGGGTAGGAAAAAAAATGCCATTGCTGTTCCCTCAAGTGACGAAGAATACTCAGACCCGGGCACCACCCCACGCCCAGGTGCACAGCGGCAGACAGCAGTGACAGCGTTTTCGCTGCTGTGCGCCAGTTGCTGTCTCCTCAGATAAGACTCGTAGGTTTGCAAACACCTTTTGAAACCATTTTTATGATTTATTGTGGTTTCACATCTGTCTCGGATACCCACAATAACCTTGTAGTCAGGGGTGTCGGTTAAGATCGCTGTTCAGCTGCTAAAACATCCAGTGGTTTGACACAGGTGGACAGCAGCTTGTGTCACGCTGAACACAGTGTGGCTCCTTCCGACTCTCCTCCTGCCGGGGCTTCCGGCGCAGGCTCCTCCTTGTCGCAATCTGGTTGCTGCAGCGCCAGCCGTTACAGGCTGAGTCCTGGCTGGTGGGAAGTCTGGGACTGTCCCAGAACATCTGACCTTAGACCTAACAGGCCAGAACTTACCTGCCTGCCCACCCTTGTGTTCCATGAGAGACTGGGGGGAAAGCAGCTTTTCAGAACATCAGCACACATGGTGGGTGCCGTCAGTTTCTGTCTTGCTTTGGCTAACAAAACAAAAGAAAAGGAATTATTAGCAGACAACTACCTGCCTACTTCGGCGAGGGAAGCTGTACTAAAATGGCTTTGTTTCGCCCCGCATGGCAAAGCAGCAGTGAGCCGGTGGCTGCGGGCTGTGACCCTTCCTTGGGTCCTGGCTTCTTGTTGACATCCTGCCTCAGGGAATTCTGACAGCGGAGAGCCTCTCCTCCTGTTCCCCAAAGTCCAAAGAGCTAACATATATCACTGTAAATGTGCACAAATGAAGTTCCCTGTGGTGTAGCGTAGCAGTGCCTCCTTCCAAGCGTTCATGAACTAAGTAGATCGTGCTTGCCATGAGTTAGAGGACTTAACACAGTTAATAAACCTGCTATAATTATATTTGAAAGGCTTTTTAAAAACACGTGTTTTAATTTACTAAAGCACTCATTTTCCCACAGTCACCTGTATCGTAGCGCAGTCTGTCCTGCAGCTGCCCGTGTCATAGTAGACGACGCAGAGAAAAGAGGTTTAGAACAGACCGCGCGTGAGCTCTCACGTGAGAGCCGATGTGGAGCACGTCGGCTCTGTATGGATTACAGACCGGGGTAACGTTTGGATCTAGCACATCACGGCCATTATAGTGCAGTCAGTGTGGCCCCACATTCTTGATGTGGCCCCTGGAAAAGCCCCCCGCGCGTGGCTGTTTCTGTGGTCCATGTTGATGGTGGGCGCAGCACTGGGGGGGGCCCGGATGGAGGGCCCCAGTACGAGTGGCCCTGCCCTCTGTCCACTGGCAGCAGAGCGCCTGTCCAGTGTGGGCGGTCAGGGTTAGAGGGGAGGATGGCCTCTGGCACCAGCCACACAGCTTTGTGCACGTGTAAAGGACCGTCGGGTAGCAATACTGGGGCCCCGTGATCATAAAAGTAGCCGATTCACGTTACACCCTACGCTCCCAAAACTCCCGCCGACCGCCCTGACCCGGTTAATGATCACGGAAGCGGCACTCGGCCCCGCTGCGCCCTGGGACTGTGGCCCGCCGAGGAGCCCTCCCGGGTGACATAAGCCCAGACACATGGGGCAGAAAGTCTCCCGGGGGTTTCGCTTTCGGTACCTGCCTCAGGCCAATCTTGTGCCAAGGAAAACCGTGTATGTTCAACTGGAGGAAAGAGCGCCTGTTCTATTTTTGTAGACATAGATCAATACTTATTGGTCATGAAGAATGATTCTGGCATCAGTGCCGCTGGTTAGTGTTTGTTGAACAGAGCCAACTCAAAAGGAAATCTGCCACCTCTAGGGGCCCAGTGTATGGCGTTTTGAAATGCTTTGAAATGGTTACTATAGAAACATGTTTGTACTATAGTTGAAGTTTAACTATTTTAAGCCTAACTATAAAAGAAGCTAGCCAGGGCCCTCCCTGGGGGCGCAGCGGGTTAGAGCGCAGCACTGAGAAGCGAAAGCCACTTCCGCATGAGTTCGATCCCCGCCTGCCCCAGAGGGGACCCCAGGGCACAGCAGACCTCTCCTGACCCCCCCGCTGCTCCCCTCAGCAGTGGACTTCGTCCATCTGCCTGTTCTGCCCCCCACTGTGTCCCTGGTGAGTCCTCTCACCCTCCGCATCTCTGGCCTGTACCCCAGTTCTGTATGCACAAATAAATCTTAAGGAAAAAAAAAAAGAAAAGAAATTAACCATAGAATCGCTGGTTTCACGTTTGTCCTCACAAACCAGAAGCCTAAGCCTCGTGAGCTCTGTGGGTTAGCGATAAAGCCGATAAAGCCGAGCGTGTGTTTGGCTCTTCACCACGGCGCTCACTCCACTGAGGGAGTGAATCCAAGCTGAAAACAGAAATCTCGGTTTGGGCCGTGAATTTGAACTCAAATAACATCTGTAACTGTCCTTAGCCTTGGATGATGACATGAATGATCTCAGCTCTCGTCACACACCTCTCATTTATGTTCCCTTGAAGTTACCTCACCAATCCCACTTGTTTAAGAGGAGAACACCCTTCCTTGCCCTGTGCCTGGGATGGAAAAGTGAGGAATGTGAACTCCCCGGGCTGCCTTGTGGGGGCCGATCTCCTGGCGGGAGCAGCCCTTCCCTTTAACTTCGCTTCAGCACGCCGGACCATCTTGTTTGAAAGCAGCCTGTGTTCTTATATCCAAACGTTCTCTGTCATTTTTCCTTTTTTAAATATATATTTATTCACATTTGAATGTCCTTGTTTACTTTGCTTATTTTTGTCACAGTATAGGATTTCTCCCCTTGGGTGTGGTCATCATAGTTTTCTTTATTTTTTTAAATATTTCTTTATTTATGCATATAAAAACTGGGGCACAGGCCAGAGGTGTAGGGGGTGAAAGAATTCACCAGAGACAGTGGGGAACAATAGGCGGATGACTGGAATACATTGCCGGGGGGAGCAGCAGGTGAGACAGGAGAGGTCTGCTGCTCCCTGGCCGGGGGTCTTTAATCCTTTGTTGGGTTTCTCTAGAATCCACATACAGGTGAAGCCATCTGGTATTTATCTTCTTCCTTCTGACTTACTTTGCTTAGCATAATACCTTCCAGCTCCATCAAATGGCTTGAGTTTGACTCTTCTGATTGCTGAGTAGTATTCCATTGTCTAATATAGACCTCCCTGTCTTGATCCACTCATCTGTTCCAGGCATTTGGGTTGTTTTCCATATCTTGGCTCTTGTAAATATTGCTGCAATGAACTTAGGAGTGTAGGTCTCTTTTTGAATTAGTACCGTTTTTTCCATATGGGTAGTTGTGAGAGATTTCCTCTTTCAGAGATCTGGGTTGCGGGGAGAGGGTGTCCGCCGAGTTGGAGGGTTCACTGATAATGTACATGTATTGTTCATAGAGAAAAGTAACAGCCAGTTTATAGACTCCCATTTATTCCACATTTACTTAAGTGAAATACCTCATTGTGCTCTCTGTCTTCTGTCCATCTGTCATGTTAACACAGGTCTAGAAAGAAAGTACCAAAGTTTAGTTCAAATCTTGATAAAAGAATTCGAAATAAGCACATATAGACATCAACATTTCACGGCCCACAGTTGGGGTTTAATTCCTACAACTATTATGTTTTCATGCCTTCTCAGGGGTGTGGGTGGCTTGCAGAAGGTCACATTGGAAACAAGGTCGTGACTAAATACTTGATGCAGTTTTTATCCCAGTCTGTGAGCCTGCTCCGTAGTGCCCTCTGGTGGCTTCAGTGCGAGTATAAAAAGGAACTTAAAGCTAAGGCGGTATTGAAGCTTTCAGTAAGTCTGGCTTCTTTTTTTGTGAGGTTCTTTTGTTTGTTTATTTGAATACGGGTGTCTCTTTTGTTAAATTTTATTGAAATTGTTATTAAGCTTTTATGTTTATTGAAGGATGTTATATTAAAGAAGTTCCCTAGCTTCTATTAAAAATTAAATTGTGCATCGAAAAGTTCTTTCTCCCAATTTTTTTTAATCAATCAAAGAATACTAGGTATAACACACAAGTCTGTGATACAGACAACACTGTATTTTAATCCCTTTACTGTCTCTGGCTAGGACAGTATTTCTGAGCCCTCTGTGTGGCTAAATCACACCCTCTTCCCCCCCCCCCCAATTTATTAATCTGTCAGTAATGTACATAACTATGTGATTCGGGGGTGCATGTCACCCCTCCTTAGGTAAGCATGCTTCACTCAGCCCTCACCAAAGCTCACGTGTCCTGTCCAGTGTCCTCTCCCGTCCCTCTTCTTCCCTCCCAATTCTTGTAGAGTGGCTTTGCTTGAATTTGGTGCTGTGAGCTGCGCTGCGCCCCAAGAAGCCAGGCCCCCCCCTCCCCTGGCATGCTGTGCCCCTGTGTTCCCTCCTGGTTATAACTTGCGGGCCCCTGAGCCCTGTCACCTGCCATCCCCTGGGGTCCTGCAGCTCCTCAGACCCCTGCCTCCCCTCCCCTTTCCTAAGTCCTGTTCCCTCTTGCCCTTAGGTCCCAGGGGAAATGTCCGCCCAGGCTCTGGGGGCCTTCCTTGACCGCCCTATTTTACACAGAACCTTTTGCCGGGATTTTCCTCTGAATTCCTGCTGCTGTTGTTGTGGTTGTTTAACAATTCTCTCTGTGGTGGTTGTACATTATTTCTGTTTGGGAGAAAAGTGACAGTGTCGTTGACTGTTACTTTTATGCAAGTATCTCCTGCTGGAGACCACACCCATGTGCGAAATCTGTCCTGCTCTTAACCTCCCTGGGCACCAATCAGACCTTGGATGCAGTAAGGAGCAGTGACTTTGGGGTTCAGCCACACTTATCTTGAATGCCATTTGTTGGACATATTTCCAAATTTGATTTTCTGACTTAATGTGTATACAGAACGACCATCCCCTTTGGATGTCAGCAGTCTTGGACCATCTCCAGATGACTGTTGAAGTTAGATTTTGTTGAACAGCAGCAGAGACTTGATATTGGATAAGGAAATGGAGCTCACCCCAGGAACCACCCCAGAAACAGTTTTTTAGATGTGACCTTGTGAGGTCTGCCTTCTGCGTCATTGGCCTATCGGAAGAGTAGAGTATCGAAGGGAAATTCAGCGTATGGCTGATCTCTATTCCAGTTGAGTCAGATGTACTTTGGAGCCTCGACATTCACCCATATATAATTATCAAGTGCAAAACAAGTACATGACCTAAATCTGGAGACTAGTTGTGAGATAATTTGCATCCGCGTTCCCACCCGTAAATCTGGGTATCGGAGAGTTTGGGGCCACCTCTGTTTCCTAAATGCCTTTATGACCAGTGCCTGTTTTTGGATGCTAACGCACGTTTCCTTTCCCCACAGCCCTGTCAGTTTGAGCAGTGCATCGTCCACGCTCTGCAGTCACTCAAGGGAGTGCTGGAGTGCAAGCCGGGGGAAGCCAGTGTGAGTCCCTGTCACATCCCCAGTTCAGCATTGCCCAGGGAGACCTGATGGCTGGCTCACCTTTCTTCGCTTAACCCCGGGGGCTGTTGATTTCTGGCTCCATCAGTTCAGATGCAAGCCTGAGGGTGGTGGGTCGGGAGCTTGCACGCTGACACGTGGCCTACCAGGGGAACGCTGGCCTGGATGTGGCTGAAACCCCGCCGGGGGGCTAGCTCCCCACTCAGGATCCTTCCCAAAGAAGGTTACCCAGCCCCGGAGGCAGTTTTCCGTGTGTTAGCTGCATAGGTTGAAAGTGATCAACAAAAAGTTTTATTTCTTCCCTAAGTCCAACACTTTCCATCGTAATTCTTGTTTGCAGGTCTTTCAACAAGCAAAGACACAGGAGGAGGTTTGCCAGTTGAGCATAAACATCATGCAGGTAATAGGTGAAAACAAAGGTGGCCTGACGCCTGAAATAATGCAAATTATGAATCAGTGCCCTTTTATCTTATTTGTGGTATACATATAAGCATGGATTAAATATGGAATATTTTCTCATCTTGTTTGAGGCTGTGATAGATTATGGTAACTAAGGCAATAAAATAATGTTCAAGGCAAAGTTGATGCCAACGTAGTACCTCAATATTTCATTCACATCAGTGCTCCCTTTTCTGTGCCTTCGTGGTGTTTTACAGGTATTTCTGTTAAAGCACAGAGTAAATGACACCATGGTTGTTTGCACTGTGCCTGCAACGTCAGGTTCTGTTCCTGGGACAGTGCCTTGTGGGCACAGGAAAGTGAGCATGTGAGGAAGTGAAGGAAAGGGAAGGAAAGGTGTTTGCCCTAAAATACATTCCAGAACTTAATGGTAGACCAAAACATTGGTGCCTTTGACTTCCCTATCTTGTACACATTATAGCTGGCCTAATGTTGACGAGAAACAAAAAAACAACTTGTGGCTGAACTTAAAGGTTTTGAGTACCAGATTTCCTGGTACAGACCTGCAGTCGCAGCTTCCAAGAACATGCCCGTGACTTTGAGGGCTTGAGCACATCAGCGAGATGTGGGAAGTGGCCCGTGCGCCCATTTCTACACACGTGCATACACTTCTGGGGGATACAGTTCTGCCTTCTAATTTGCATAGAATTATTTTCAACGCCTAGTAGAGCCCTATCTCAACGTCTGTATCGTTGGAATATCTTACTTTTAGGTTTTTATACACTGCCTGGAACAGCTGAGCACCAAGCCTGATGCAGACATAGACACTACGCAGTAAGTGAAGTTGGAATTTATCTTATTGCTAGATGAGAAGAATTAAAAATGGAAGCCAATGTTCCATGTTTACTCTTATTTCCTAAGATTTTAGGTAGAAAGTAGAGCTTGTTCACATCAGCTGCATTTTTACATATTTGATCTGTAATCTTTGTGTAATTTTTCTGACTCCCAGAGGCTTGTTAACATTACCAGAAGCTTGTTGAGCAAATGAGCACGATTGTTAGGGGACACATTTTATATAACAGTGAAAAAGAAAATTAAAATATGGGGACTCCCTGGTGGCCTAGGGGTTGCCTCAGCACTTTCAGCACTGTGGTCTGAGTTCCATCCCCTGCTAGGGAGTGACCCACATATGCAGCAGACCTCTCCTGTCTTGCCTGCTGCTCCCCTCAGCAGTGGATTTCAGTGGCTCCACCTTTTCTACTCCCAACTCTGTCTCTGGTGAACCTCTCACCAGCCCCCCATCTCCGCCCCCTCTCCTCCCGCCCACCCCGCTTCCTCCTTGTACTTCTGGCCTACATCCCAGTTCTATGCAAAATGAAAAAAAGAAAAAGAAAAAGATCATTAAAATATATAATTACTAGTGGGTAACGTTTGCAACTCTGCCGTTAGGGGAGCTCTACCAATATTCTAAGTAAATACTGGTTCTGTTAGTCGAATTAAATCTGGCTTAGGCTTATGTTATTTAATGTAAACTTCATGGGACACCTTGATTCTTGATGTTTGCAAATCCATTTTATAATATTCTTTCATACTATTCTATACAACTCTATAAAACTCTGATTTTTCTGAAGATATTTGGAATCTTCCATGCATCTAAGATTGATGCTCTGATACAAGTAATGCAGAAATAAAGTCATTTCATGTCTTAAATGGGCAACTTGAGAACTTTTCCACGTTTGTCTAGTTCCAGGTATTGGTCTTGCTCCCCAGTATATAAGTGTCTATGACTGTCACCTTACAGTTGATTCTTCTAGTTCTTTAGTTTGGTTTTATGTGTTTAAGTCATTAATGTGCCAGGAACTTCTGTTGTTAATCATATTGACCAAGCACGTCTTTCCTTCCTCAATGTTTTCTTGCAATTGTTGTTTTAAACAGTGAGTTCTAATAAACAGTATAATCTGTTCCTAAACTTTTCTTCAGTTCATTCACATATTTTATGTAAGCTTGTGCTGTTTTAATTATCACTCATTTATATTTTAGTGTTTTTCAGTTTGGCATCCTCTGCTGCTTCTCTCCTTTGAAATTTTATCTTATATTTTCATCTCTTTAGTCTTTCATATGAATTCTAAAATCAGTTGGTCAGGTTTAAAGAAAATAATCCCTGTTAATTGTTTCTGTTTCATGGTTTTGATATATCTGTAGCTTCTATCTAGCCTCTAGCTGATATCTATATCTAATTTTATATCCTGGTCACTTGTGGTCACCTTCTTACTTCCTAACTCAACTTGACTGTGTTCACTGCTGAAGTGAGCCCGTAAAATCCTCCTGGAGATTGTGATAATTCAACTATGTGAATGTATGTACCTATAAATGAAAGCACTGAGTATTTTCCAGGGTTGATCATTTCTTTTTCAATTTAATGAAGTCAATGTTGGAAAGACCCAAAAGCAAAGTTCATTTGGTCCTTATGACAAGATAGAACATAGTATCTACTTTGAGCTGTTCAGCGTTAAATGTAAAATAGTGACATGGTTATGTGATTTTAACCAAAAGGTCTCATTTTTGACCAAAGTCAGTTTTACCGAGGGTTCATTGCACTTTTTGTTTGGTGCTTTAACGGTAACTTATCTTCCTGGTGGCTTCTCTCTCTAGTCTGTCCATGGATGTCTCTTCTCCGGACTTGTTTGGAAGTATTCATGAAGACTTCACTTTGACTTCTGTAAGTGACATGGTGATTAAGGCAATAAATAGAGAGTAAAATGCCATTTTAAAAACAATTTCATAAGTAAATTTAAATTACTTTATTCTGCAATTACTGTTTGATAGCGTCCTGCTATGTACTTTGTATCTGTGTTATATTTTGTGAAACTTTTAATGAAAATAATTTCATACATATGTTTAACACCCTTCTGATTAAAGTTTGTCACGTACGTCATTTATCTGGTCTGTGTATCACGTAGGGTCTTGAGTGTAATACAGGTGCCCTGGGGATTTCCTGATATGTAGAAGTGAGAGCAGAAATGAAGGACAGGCCCACTTCCCCTTAACCAGAGATGCTCTGTCTTCCTTTATTTCATGTCTAGAAATTCCCTAATAGTATTATACAACATGCAAGTTCCCCTGGCGAAAACATCATCAAACTTACCATGTTATATACATATATGTACATATTTTTTAACATATTTAAGGATGACTCACACACACACACACACACGCTTTATCCCGGGTATAAATTCATTGGTCATAACCCAGGTTCCAACCACAGACTGCCATAGCCACAAGAAAGGATGAAATATGACCATTTCAACAATGGAGGGGATTTGACTCTGTTCAGCAAAGCATATCAGAACATTATAATCAAATACTGCACATTCATTTAATAGACAAATGAGTAGTGAAATTATTGGCAGATACAGTGTTCGGCCACTGAGTTCAAGGAGTGTGGCTCATCTTCGGTCCATGTACCTTGATGACAAGGGCCTGTTCATCTCCACATTTATGATGTCAGCTTTAGGATAAATTAGTCTGATTATATACAAAATGGTGAGAAAATACAGTTACGAGCTTTTCTTGGAGAGTGGTTTTTACCTCAGTTTTTAGTCACGGGACCTTCAGTTGAGGCCTTAAATTAGTCATGGCTGTTCTGGAGAAGACACCCTCACACCTGAGGAAACAGTAAGCCAAGCCACGGGAGTAGCGGCAGTCGCCATTCACAGAATCCTGGTGGCAAAATAGTTCTTCAGAACTATGAAGAGATTTTGTACTCCTTGGACTGGGATTTGGTGATGTTGATAAGAACCTTTCTCTTGGGGATGTGTGGGGACTCTGGCACTGGAGAAGCACACTGTGAGGCTCTGATGCTGTGTCCCCCCCAGAAAAGGGAGACAGTTCCCCATAAAACTTACGCAGTGTACAAGGTATTCTAAAGAAAGCTGTCATGCGAACGACATGATAGTTCTCTTCCAAGTTGTGAATAATTTATTGCCTTTTCTAAGTGTGTCTGCATTAGTGGCAACTCTTCAGAAATTGCCATCTCTATGGGGTTTTTTGTTTTGTTTTTTGGTGGGGGTGTGCAGAGTGTTACTGGACTTGCTAGTAAGCAGCCTCCCTTTCATCAGAATCTCAGTTGACCTGACTGTGGCAATTAACTACCTCATCACTCGGTCCTTCCATATGGCATTCACTAAGCCTAAGACTCTAAACTTGGCTTCTGTCTCTCTCTATGTTGATAGTGAAGAAGCGACAGCCAAGAAAAAGGAAGCACTAAATACTGATCTTAAACAGCAGGTTATGATTAAATTTAATAGATTATCTGTCACATCCTCACTATGTCACAGTACATGTGATTTTCTAAATATCTGTTTTGCTTTTCAGGAACAGCGACTTTTGATTGTCCTGAGTAACTGCTGCTATCTGGAACGTCACACCTTCCTCAATATAGCGGAGCATTTTGAAAAGCATGATTTCCAGGGCGTGGAGAAGATAACCCAGGTGCTTGGATGACTTCAGTCTTCTCCCCTTAGCACCCCTTTCTTTTGTTTTCCTGTGTTTCCCCTCTCTGCCCCCCCACCCACATTTCCTTCCCCATCTTCACCCATCTGTTGTTGAGTGATCCTTTGCCCTTCTCATCTTCCTTCTTGAATCTCAAATGTAATATCCACTCCTCTTGACCAGAACTTTCTCAAGGTCAAACCTGCTGACCACCTCACCTTTAGTTCCTAACAGTGTTGGAAAGGAGTGTTGCCTCATTGAGAAAATTCACTATAAAAATTGAGCAAAGGGGCCTCCCTAAGGGCTAAGTCTCAGTGCTGTAACCACTATAGCCCCAGTTCTACCCCCCCCCCAGGGCATAGCAGATCTCTCCTGTCTCCCCGCTGCCCCCCTCTGCAGTGGATTTCAGTGGCTCAGCCTGTTCTGCTCCCTACTCTGTCTCTGGGGAACCCTCTCACCACACACACACATAACGCACACACACACACACCTCTGGCCTGTACCCTGTTCTTGTATGCTTAAATAAGTAAACCTTTAAAAGAAAAAAAGAATCATCTCAGATTTGGCTCCTTTTAGATCCTTTTAAGTTGAACTTTTGCGTATAGCAGGAACACACTCCCTGAGCCCACAGAAAAGCCTCTTCCTGCTTCTTCACACTACTTCTTCCTCTCTGTTTCCAGGTGACCATGTGATGCTTTTTGCTTTACTACTTAGGTCTGCCCACAGAGGTTTGTGTGTGCGGATACACGCATGCACACAGACAGACACACACACACACACACACACACACACACACAGGCTAATAGCAACTATAGGCTGCTGCATACCTTACCCGAAAAATATTTTCTCCCCATTGATAATCCATTTCTGAATGTAGTTGGGCAGACATGAGTCAGAAATCCATGGGATTTGTTAAAACTTTTAAAACTTCATACTTTGTTGTTAATATTATTTCAAGTAAGCAAGAAAGGAAGACATAAGCACTCCGTCACCGAAGGTTCCTCAGCTCCTGAGCAAAGTTTTATCAGATTTCTCAGTAAAACTAAGCCAGAACCACTTTTTAATGTCAGTACAGTTTTTTTTTTTTTTTTTTTTTTTGGGTGCAAAGAAGAAGGAAGATAATGATCTTGCTAATCTTACAGCCAAAAAGTACTCTTAATGGATTGCATGCTTTTTATAAGTGATGCTTCCAGTTCATGAACTTGATGAGGGTGTTTTTTGTGTGTGTGTGTGTGTGTGTGTTTTCAAAGAATGAAGGTACCCAAGTGGGTGGCTTGTCTTGTTTTCCTGCCTTTTTGTAAAGATTAATCATCCTGATGAGAAATGTTGTGACTTGAGGCCCTAGGGCCAAACGTTGAGTGTATTTCCAGAAATTTTTGCGTTGCAAAAGTCTTGCAAGCAGAACAGTACTACTTGTAGAGAGCGGATATTTTTCCGTTTTTGGACACCCCAATCATGGCCCATCTCTATTTATTGGAGGAACTTTTATGATTTCGCGAAATGGCCAGGAATTGCCTATAACAGAAATAGTAAGTTTGGTTTTCATAGTCTTGAGTAGGAGTTAAAAGGCTGGTGATCTGCTTGCATCTTTGAGAAGCAGTGGGCTTGGCATCCATGTAGGTTTTGTTTTCCTTCCGATTCTTTGCCCACATTCTTCCTAGGCCAAGGTGATGTGATGGGCCTGGAGGGTGCAGCTTGGAACAAATGACGGGCTACTGTGCTTGCTCAGAATTTGCAATTTTTTAAATCAACCACTGCACCCTTTAAGAGGGCTTGGTTGAGCCATAGATGGAACCTGTCTCAGAGCCTAGTGAGTGAGTCTGCCAATTCCGTGACACCAGCCACAGCTCACGGACGGCTGTCCTGCGGGGAGAAGTGTCATTCCGAAGCTGATCTTAGGCATCTTGACTCTCATTGCAGAGTGTAATGTTCTGATTTGATTGGTAAAAATATTCTGGCATGCTGTTTTAATCTATGTTCCTGTACCTACTTGGCCATTTAATACTTTTTCAGTGTTCACTGACTGGTTCTTATCTGGAAGAGTTCATTTCAAAGGAACTTGGACGGTCTAAGGAAACGCAGTTTTGCATTGTTTCAGTTTGCAGACTAAACTTGCCACTGGTCATTAATTCTTCGAGCCCTTTGAAAAAGGAAAACCAGAGGTGTACAGTAAATAAATGTTAACATATGATTTCATTGTGGGAGCTGTGACTATGTAATTCCAAGGAATTTTTCTTTTGGCATGTAGGTATTTTAACCTGTTCCCAGTGTTTAAAAAAGCAGGCATCTCATTTAGAATTGGAGTAATCGCAGATTCTTGGCCGACTCGGGTCCAGTCATTTAGTGAGTCAGCTGTCAAATTCTTGATGAAGTTTTTATTTTAAGCCCTCAAATGTCTTTCAAAAATTCCAGCATGAGGTGGGGAAGGCAACTTTTTTTTTAATTTGTCCAGGGAAGCTCCTTTACATGCAGTGCTCAGTTTCAAAGATTTTTTTCTTAAGTCACTTGAACCATATATACCACATCTTGTGCTTTTATTTTAACTTCAGTATTATATATATTTCCTAAGTTCCATTTGAAATTATTTGAATTCATTAGATGTGAATGACAGTAGCCTGTGCCCTCACTGTGTCATCTTAATGTTTGTCTTGCTTCTCCCACACCTTATAATATAAATAAATTGTTTGGAGGTGATTTTTATATAGCCTATTCATTGTAAGTTAATTCATTCTGCAGCTGTGGTCTTAGACAGGAGAATTAGAAGCTGGTCAGGTGTGTCCCTGCAACCTAAGTACTGACCTTAATTTTTGGCAAACTAATTGTGCAATTTCACTTAAAAACAAACAAGTCAAGTTTGTAGAAACAGAGCAGATTAGGTGGTTGAGGTGGGAGAGGAGCAAGGAGAGTGGGTGAAATGGGATAAGAGCAAAGCACAGACTGTTATAAGTGAGTCTCAGGTGAGTGCTGTCGCACCTGGCAAGGACAGGTATAACACGTGCTGCCCATCTGAAGGCGCCGAAGAGCGTAGATCTCAAAAGTCCTTATCACCAGAAAAACATTTTCTTTTGTTAACAATGGATGGGAGCAGAAATAATCAGCCAGGTATGCGTAGATTAATGTAGTGGGCACATCTATTTCTGATTTACGTGATTCTTGAATTGGCTTTTTTTAAAAAAAACAAAGAAAGTTGGCCTGTTTTCACTGGCCATGTCTGTCTGGGAAGTGTTTTAGTCTCTACAGTATTCTCTCTTGGCTTCCCTAAGAGCCATAGCCGCTGAACGTATCATTTTACGTTTTCCTGTCTTTCTGCTCTACCTGCCTCTGACTTCCTTATCGGTGGGGACTTTTCCCCTCTAGCTCCCATTCACTGCTCTCAGGCAGTGCCATGCTGACGCCCTCCTCCTGGCGTCTTGAGTAGGCCAGGCCTGTGCAGTTAGCATCTGCCTTCCTCTGGTGGCCAAGTGCCATCAGCGAAAACAGGGCATTGAGGACAATAATAAAATAATAGTAAGAGCTACTAGCATTTACTCTGCATTGTACATGGGCTGCACCGTTTCATAAGCTCTCTGTTTAAGTTCTACTGCCCCGGTGGGCTAGAGGTTAAGTCTCAGTGCTATTACCTATAAAGCCTGAGTTCGATCCCCAGCCGCGGAGCTGACCCACATGGCACAGCAGGCCTCTCCTGTCTCCCCACTGCCCCCCCAGCAGTGGATTTCAGTCAGTCCGCTATTCTGCTTCCCACTCTGTTGAATTCTCTCACCACCACCCCCCCCACACACACACATCTTTGGCCTACACCCCAGTTACTCTACTAAAAGAAATAAATAAAATGAAATACTTTTTAAATGCCCTGACTTTAATAATTCATTTCCTGCCACTCTGCTCTCTGTTTCCTGTGGTTGGACTCCATCTGCCTTTTCCTTTCTTCATCCTGTCTCAACCTTTTTTTTTCCCTTTACAGTAAAACACGTGACTCTTAAGTGTGCACATTGGTGCCTCTTCTCTCTGTCCAGCTTATTCTGGAATATCCTGTAAAGTGGACTCAGGCAGCTCCATTTGCCCGTTACCTGATCCAGTCGTTATAGTAGGATCACATTCCCAGGAAAAATCTCAAAGCATGCACCCAGGAGCCTTTTACATCTAACTTACAGTTGCTGCAGCTTAATCATGTTTGCAGATTTGTTCAGTTGTGTGTTTTTCACTCATTTGTTTTATTGCTAAGTTGGGAAAAACAAATTGTGTTTCTTCTGTCTCCTGGTAATAGACTGTTAGAAATAAGGCTGCTGTGAACCTTGCTGGAAAAGTTAGCAAGGTTTGTGTGTGTGTCTAGGCTATATATGCTACACATCCATAAGACAAATCTCTCGCTCTTCTTTTGGATTTGCTGGTCATGAGACAGTTCAGCTGCTGTTCCAAAGAGTCATCCCACAGGCACCGGCCATGTCCTCAGTGACTTCATGCAGAGTTGTCATCCTTTTTCATTGTGACCAGTCTTGCTGTTTTAGTTGGCGTCTACGAATTGTGGCCTCAAGCATCTCTTTGTATGCAGTCAGTTATCTTCTTTGTTGAAGTGCCTTGTGAGTTTTTTTTTTTTTCCAGTCAGGTGCTTCTTTTCATTAGTGAAGGACATTAAGATAGGTGCATAAGTCAGATAGGTGGTTTCTCTCCTGGCCCATAGCTTGCATTTTGTGTTTAGAATGTTGTCCTTTAAGTCGAGACGTTTCATCTTGACGAGACCCACTTTATCGCATTTCAAAAAGGTTCGTGCCTCTCCTGCTGTTAGAGCCCTGTGAGCTGGTACTTAGGCACCCAGTGATCCCCACTTCCAATAGAAGTTCACACAGTGTGTGTGTGTGTGTGTGTGTGTGCACTCACACCACAGTGGGGAGTAACTCTTACCATGCTAAATGGCTGTGTTGAGAGTGGTCTTTAAGCACAAATAAGATGAAAATCATGTTTTTATAGGAAAATTGATAAGCACTTTTAACATATAGTGAAGTATTTATTATTGGCTTTGTTTTACTTTTCCCTTCACCTTCAAACAGACAACTTGTGACTGTGTTTTATGATGTGTGTCCAGGTCAGCATGGCCTCACTGAAGGAATTAGACCAAAGACTCTTTGAAAATTACATCGAGTTGAAAGCAGACCCCATCGTTGGCTCCCTGGAGCCCGGCATCTACGCAGGCTACTTCGACTGGAAGGACTGCCTGCCGCCAGCAGGTAAACAGTTTCATGTGCCTGGAGTCGGCTGCCGCTAGAGCAACAAATATGCCTCTTCTGCTTTCAGTTTATATTTTCTTAAAGCATTTTTCTTTTTATTCACATTTGCCTCATATTTACTGTATTCCTTTGATTTTAGCTTTTTACTACCTTAGGCCCATTTTTTTTTGATAGTTTCAGACTTGCCACACTCTTTTATTAACAATTAGAAGCTTCAAGTTTCTCCTAAACTCCAGAGAAGAAGTAATTGCACCTTATAATAATGGGCCGCTTTAGTAATGCATGCGTGCTTCCTGTGATACCCGATGATTGCATCGCTGTAACAGACTGACTGTGAGTGACAGTTTTCTGCAATGACCTTGTGACTGTCATCAAAAAATTTACTGAAGAAATGTGGTCACTTCTACATAAGGCCTAATTATTAGTGCTGAAAGGGTGAACGATAGAAGGAAATCGTGTGGGAGTCAGATTATTACAGTAATTTAGCGAAGAAAATTGAACCACAGAAGGATGACTGACACAGTTCCAGTATTATCTTTGTGATATCAAATGAAAGTCAGTTAAATCACTCCAATTTAAGCCAACAACTGTTACTTTCTGACGCAGGTAAGCCCTGTGATTGATCCAGTGCCGTATCTTTGTGTGGAGGAGGGTGGCATGCATAAAACCAAGCTGCCAATTAACGTTTTTGTGTGGGAGTGGTCGTCCGTGGACGTGGTCATGTCCCTCTGTCAGAGACATTGAGACACACACATACCTCTGTGTAGCGGTACATTGTTCACAGCGTTTGGCTTCATTCTTTTGCCTCCACCTGTTGTTATGCGTAACGCGCTCCTTCAATCGTGGTAAACATGTTTCTCCTTAGGCACCTTTTTTTTCAAATTCCTTTTCCTTGGTGCATGAGCATTGCCTGGCCACGCTGTATAGATTTAGGAGCCTTGTCGGTCCACCAGGTACATTCCACGTGAAGCTGACCCCTAATGGTGTGCTTCTGTCTGTCACTGTATAATTGACCCCTGTCGCCCTGTGTCCTGGGTCCTCTTGCCTTCTTCGTGTGGTGGCCCCTAACTTGGTCTCATGGCCTGGAAGTTTGTTTTGTATTAGTAGCTCACTCGCGGTTCTGCTTCTTTATGCACCACAGTGAACGCGCGCTCCTTTCCACACACTGCCTCCCCCAGGCTGCTGCTCGGGCGCGCTCTCCTCCCCACGCTCTGGCCTGGCTTTCTCTGGCCTGCACGCCCGTCTGCAGCACGTTCACAGCGCCTGGTGTGTGTGCGTGTGTGCACATAGCCTGGATGCATGCTTGTGGATGTGCCTGTGTCTGCCTTTGTGCCTGTTTGGGGAAAGTTTGTAAACCAAGATAGGAGTCGAGTCCTGTCACACATTCCCAGACTTCAACTTAATTATTTTTTTAATAAATTAAATTCTTTTACATCATTCTTCATTTTGTGCATTTTTCATCTCGGTTGTCATCCCCCCACCACTTCACCCGTGTGCATCGCCATAGTCCCGTGTGCTCTTCCCACCCCAGTTTTGAGCCTGTTCCCCTCTCCCCTGGCCCCATAAAATGTCTCTTCTTTTTTGTTTTTACTTTATTACAATTTTTCCCCGGATGCCTTATGCTCCTGCTATGAGTGAACTAGACGTAAGACCCGAAACTAAATCACTCAACTAATTAAATGATTTAAATAATTAAATTATTTTTATAGAGCAGTGAGCGAAAGGTTCAGAATTCCAAGTGCGGACATCAGCCGGGGGTTCAGCAAAGTCTCATTCTCCACCTGGATGGAGACATTACTCAGCGACAGTACTCAGATGCCGCCCACAGGGCGCTCAGGCTCAGCCGACTGTCGGCTTCTCAGCTCTTTCAATCCACCACCCCACTGGCTTCCTGATCTTGGGGCGCTAGACAGCTGGAGCTCAGCCCTGGGAACCAGCCTGATCACTGCATCTCCCCTAGGGCCCCCCTCCACGTCTGTCACCGATGGCTGGTGGGCCACTTGCAGGAAGCTCTTCTCTTTTCATCTGGGGTCCCTCCCTTGCCTGTAACTTGTGAGAAGAGAGAGGCCTGGCCCTTGCGTGCCAGACGCTCATGGAAGTGTTCTCCTAATCTCACGTGTCAGAATCAAGGCACAGATATGGGGCAGGCCGCGCACACCGCGACCCCAGAGCACCTGCTCAGTGCCTCACAGATGATGATCTCTTAATGCTTCATGTCTGCTCGCTGAATCTCAACTGCCATAAAGCCCCTACAGGGGCAGTCGCTCCCTGGGCTGGGGGCTCCCAGGCATGTGTGGATGGTGGGTTTTGCAGTGATCTTTCTGAACTCTTCCACCACAGGAAAGTCATTCATGAAGCGTCCTAGTTTCTGTCATTCTCCCCGTCTCAGCAGGCGTCCACGGTTGTTGAGTGAAAGTGAGCGTTTACACCTTTGCTTTCCCGTCTTCTGTGAGTTTCTTAGGGGAGCATCATGTGTTCCCTACATCCTATGGAATGTGAAGTCTCAAGTGTCCCCCATGCTCAGGCATTTCTGTTTGGCCTTGCCTGGCAGAAAGCCACATGTTCTTCAGGCATAGGTAGTTTAAGTGAATCTTTCTGAAGTCCCTCTTTTCCTCAGTGGTCAGCATGCATCAGACATCATCTCTTAGCACGACGCTTCTGCACCACCTGGTGCACATTCAAGGTCACTAGAGCCACAAGGTGTTTTTGTGAGAGCAGAAGCGATGAGCACCCCTCACTCTCTGGGGGTGGCCTACAGCCCAGCCCCCTGGCCTGAGCCCCGTCCTGCCTTCGTTTGACCCCTGCTTGTTGCCGGGAGACAGACATTCAGAGGGTGCCGAGGAAGGGGCGCTTCTCTCTCTCTGCCAGCTTGCACACTTGCACTCGCCGCTGTGCTGGCCAGAGGCCAGACACCAGCAGGGTACAGCTCCCGTTGGAGGGGGCACAGGCTTCTTCTCGTCCGCCCGCTCATTTAAGGGGTATTTTGGATAAGGGAGATGCTCTCCCTTAGGGAGCGTGGGTGAGCCGTGGCTGTGAGTGCAGCTGCTGTTACCATGCCGGAGGGTCCTGGGGCGCAGGGGCCTGGCAGCGTCAGGGCCTGGCCATATGGACCTGTGGTTTCCACCCGGCCAGGCAGCTAGGTGGCAGTGTCTCAGAGTGTCCCGGTCCGTCCTTTGTCTAAGGCACCCACATCCTTCCTCAAGCATTCGTATTTGCTCCACAGTGAGGTCGCAGTGGGTAGAACAAGTCCTGGGTGTGACTTAATCATGGCATTCATCGTAATGCGGCCGGAGGGGCATTTCCTTCATACCTAGATTTTTTTTTTTTTAAGATACACATCCTTTCATGAGCAAATGGCACATGGCTGGCTCTGTGTTGTCAGCGACTGATGCGTAGCCCTGCTTGAGATTCCAGAAGCATTTAGAAACTGGCAGTGCTCGTTTCATTTTTATCAAGTATGTTTAGTTGGCTCTTTGTATAGTTTCGGCTCCATGATCGCTAACTGAACCTTCGTCCTGCATAGTCATATAGCGATTTGTAGTTTGTTTAAAGTTGACTTAAGCCGAGACCTCATGTAAAGTGAATAGCCGAAATAATTTGACTGTTAGTCTTCTCAGGCAAACTCAGTGAACGGCATTAGTGTTATCTTCAACAGTCTTTATCTCCAAAAACTGAACTTTGCAAGTCATGTGGGTAACCGATTACTTATTGCTGTGGTTAGCAATAAATTTGGTTTCTGATATTATATGTAGTAATTCAAAAAAAAGTCCAGTTGATTAATTTCATGATTCAAGCAGAGGTCGCCGTTAAAGCCGTAGCTGTGCTTTTTTCATCTAACAGTTGAGTATTTAAACTGTTATCACCTCTTTATTTGTTTATATGTCAGTAAAGACGATTCTTGTTCATTCTGAGTCACCTAACTGCTTGTTCTTATGATTTTAATTTTCCTATTATGCATGGTTATTAAGAGTCCCAATTACTTGCATTTGATGAATTTTTCTTAAGTGAAAATGTTGTTGAGCTTCCTTGATGATTCTGCGTGAAAGTTCACACCTTTAAAACATTAAATCACGAATATGATTTTTCTTTAAATTTTCACCTAGTGATTGTATGGATTTTTTTTTCTATGCAGAGCATAGAAATATATATTAATTAAATATATTTAAGAAATTAATTTACAGGGATAAAAGTACTGAACCGATTTTTAATTCAAAATGTTTTTATATTTTTGCCATTCATTGAAATTACAGTGGAAAGGAGAGACACATATGTCACTTATGACATGAATAGGCCAAGTGCCGCCGCAGAGATATTGCCACGATGTAACCCAGAGAAGAGCAGTTTCCCATCTGTCGGTGCTGTTTTAGCCCACGGTCCATCACGCCCAGGTTCATCTATAAGGGAGACTTGCCTTATAGATGTTTTTTCTTTCTTTTTTTTTTTAAAAAAAAAGATTTATTTATTTGTGCATACAGAACTGGGGTACAGGCCAGAGGCTCAGGGGCGGCGAGAGGCTTCATCAGAGACAGAGCGGGGAGTGGAACAGGCAGATCGATGAAGCCCACTGCTGCGGGGAGCAGCGGGTGGGTCAGGAGAGGTCTGCCGCGCCCTGGGGTCACCTCCGGGGCAGGCGGGGATCGAACCCATGTGGAAGCGGCTTTAGACTCTCAGTGCTGCGCTCTAACCCGCTGTGCCCCCAGGGAGGGCCCATAGATGTTTTTTCTTAGTGCAGGCAGGTTGGCAGCATATTCAGGCAGGCTGGAAAAGGACCAAACAGGAATCTGAAATGGAGGCAAAGGTAGATGACAGCACTTCTTAATCTGCATCTGTTCTGCTCAAGAGAACATCAGTTTTGTTCGAAGGTCTCTACCTCTCAGACCCTGTCTTTCACACCTTTTGGTGTCTAACCTCTGAAGGAGCAATTGCGTGATTAAGTTGGGCCTTAGAGCTTGTCATTTTAAATAATTCATGCTCAGTCCCCTTTGGCATTTTTAGAGCAT